CTGCCTCCTGCATGCCCCCTACTAGGGATCAAGCCGGCAACCCAGGCATGTGCCCTTGACTGGAATTGAACCCGGGACCTTTCATTCCGCAGGCCAATGCTCTATCCACTGAGCCAAACCAGCTAGGGTGGGTTTATTGCTTCTTAATTGCCTTCAGCTCAAAATAAATTTTATGTCAAAGAGGCATATTTTGGGATGACATATTCTGATTTCCTTCATGGGCTACATCTACCATCCCCTGAAACTCAACAGGTGCTGAACTTGATTCTTCAGCTTCTCCATCTGGTCCATTTCTACCAGTGCTCCTGTTTCTATGCCTGCATCCACTGTTTCTTCAAATCTCTGATGTGACATTCCCAAGGTCACCTTGAAGCCATCATTTCCTTCTCATCCGTGCTGAGTCCCACCAGCATGCAGATCATTTCCTTTAACTCTCTCTGGAATCTGTCCTCATGTTAGGACTATTGTAGTTCTAAGTGGCAGAACCCTAACCCAATCTGGCTCAAGCACCAATAGGAATGCACTGGCTCACATATCTGAACAGCGGGATCTAGGCCCTAGGAAGACATTTTCAGGAATTACCTTTCTCCAACCCTTGGGTCTGTTTTCTCTGTGTTGTTTTCATTGTCAGGCAAGCTTTTCCCTGTAGGATCCAGTATGGGAGGTGAAGGCTTCATGCTCCCGGTATGACTAAGGAAACGCCTATTCCATTTCTACCATTAAAATTGAGCTCTACTGGCCTGCTTTTTACTTTTAATTTAAATCATGAAATTCCAAAACCTGACCTAAAAAAAAAACACCACAAAGAAGCAAGTCTTCATAATTAACAAAAAGAGTCTCAGAAAGAGATGAAGGAGATGTACTCTCTCCAGGAGGCTCCAAGGAAGAAGACCTGAAGCTTCTCTGCATTTATCACTTGTTTAAAAAGATCTGATTTAATAGAGCGTTAAATTAATAACATTCGTTAGAACATCAAGCTTGTTTTTCTGTTCAGTATAGAGACTTTGTGTATATTCTGAAGTGTTACCAACTTGTTCTGTTCACTGTCTTTGGAAGAATAATTTAAACAAAGGGGTCTAGTAAAACTGCCAGGACTTTAAAAAATGTTGCAGTTTGTGAAAATAACCTTCAAAGAACAACCTGTATTTCTGGTATCTCTGATTTGCTGTCTCGCTTGATAATGTGTTGGCCTGGTAATAATGCTGAAATGGTCACCTCTGCTTTTCTGAAACAATACAGTTAGTCTTTGTAGAGCAGATGGTCTCTGTTGCAACTATTCATTTCTGCCCTGTAGCACCAAAGCAGCCAGTTAGCAAGTGGGCATGGCTGTGTTCCTATCCCACTTTATTTATAGACACTGACATTTGAATTTCATATAATTTCCATGTGTCATGAAACACAGGGTGTCCCAAACATATTTATGCACTTTAACAACTGATAGATAGCTCACTGCCTTTATAATCATTCAAAATGTGTGTCTACATTTTGGGGGGAAACCCTATAGTCTCCTTTTGATTTTTCAACTATTTAAAAATATGCAAACTATTCTTATCTCTTGTTTGCACTGGTTGCTCCACCTGGAACTGTCTTTCCCCATTTATTCACGTGGCTAACTCCCTTACTTCCTTCACGTCTCCTCATTCCACCCTCTCAGTGAGCCTAACCCGACCATTCTGTTTAAAACTGCAGCCAGCATCATTCCGAATTGCCCCCACTCCTTATTCCTTTTATCTTATGATTTTCCCATAGGACTTTTCACCTTCTAAAATACTAAATAATTTACTTACTTATAATTACATTGTTTTTTTAAAAAAATATACTCGCCCAGCCGGGTGTAGCTCAGCGGTAGAGCGTCGACCTAGGAACCAAGAGGTCACCAGTTCGATTCCCGGTCAGGGCATATGCCCAG